TAGAAATACTTAATTATATTCAGCACAAGTGTTTAACTGTATTTAGACGACCTGAGGATCGATGTGAGCGCTATCATTTTCATGGCAGACAATGATCCATCGCCATGTTCAGTGCAACATCTCCTTTGACATGGGTGGAGTGACAAGGCGAAATGCATCTCTGACAGCTTGTTTCAACTCCTCCGTAGTCTCGGTAAGAAGAGACAAGGAGCAGTATACAATAATAATAATCATTGCATTTAATATAGCGCTACATCAAAGCACTTCACAGAATATACTGTAAAGTGAATTGGCTGTATATTTGTGGGTGAAACTGGGATTGCATAGATGAAAGGCATAGTAACAAAAGCAGTGGTTACCACAAAAACAAGCTCCACTTTAGCAAGCATGCCTGTAAAGGAGTGTGCAACTGGGTTCCCTTGGGACGCTCATGATCCATATCTGGCAGTGAAGCGATCTGCAAAGAGTTTTCTTTCAAATGTTTAAATGCTTTTTCACCACCCAACCCTCATGAAGAGATTTAATGAGGCTTGTAATTTCTGTGCATTACAGCTCCTGACCACCGCTGCCTGCACTGTATAAGGTTTACTACAGTGTGGTCTGATATTCATTAGTTTTTTTATATATATAAAAACGAAGACATTATCACTCCCTCCCCCCTCATTGAATCTCACCACCCTAATCTCCTAAGGCATTATCTCTCTCTGACGTGTCATATTCTAAAATGAATTGAAGGTTGAAATGTTCCTGTATTTTGATTGATTTATTCCTAAACTAATACAAGTATAGTTAGACAGAGCCAGCTCATAATATTTATACATTTGTTTAACTCCGGTGTTACTGAGTGACTACCACCGCTCAATAAACATTTTGACGAGTTACCCAATACAATATCATGTTAAGGGGCAGATGTCTGAAAGACCCTGCTTTATTTTAAGCGGTGCTGTCAGTCTGTTGAGCACCTGATGCGGTATTATTGACCTGGGTGCAGTGAGGCGCAGCTAAGGGAGATAACTAAATAATATTACAGCAACGCAAGACATCCACCTCAGTGGAAGCCACCCTCAAATAAAAACACTGCAATGCCTGAGGGATTTAAATCCAAATCCCTTCTTTGACTGGAATAGGCACAAATGCAGCTTCATGTGTTTTGCTTCCAGTTGGTGACTTTTAAGTCTGGGCCTCTTCTACGTAAATCAATGACAACCAACAAACCAAAAAGCTAAAGTTAAAGAGAGGTGTTATGATCTTGCCTTGTCAAACTACATTTATTTTTTAGCTTAGGAATGGAATTAAACCCTGTGAATTTTACCCCTTTTATATGTGTGTGCAATTGGCTGCTATGTTTGCCTACATTTACAGTCACTACACTTTACAGTAAAATCCACTGAAGTACTTTGAGACATCTTGACAACGTAATAAGGCACTATATCAAATTTAGGATTATTATTATTAAGGTGGCGTGATAAATCCTGATCAACCTGGTCCTCAAAACCCTTGTTCTACAGATGTATTCATCGGCGATCGCACTGACAGATCTTAGCCTTGTCTGATTAGAGGGAGTAGCTTTCATGCCCATCTTGTGTTGGTGGAGGAGCATTAACTCTTAAAAAACTACAGTAGTTTGGAAATATTCCTTCCTCACTTCTGGGAATATAAGAAAAAAAAGATTGGGAATTGTAATCCAAACCAGAAGCTGGAAACGGTTCAAGACTCTTGATTACCAGAGACCACAAACGTGAATTTGCCTGGATACCACATGAAAAGACCTGAGAAACAGACCGTCAAAGTGCACTCAAAGTTGATTTATGTCAATGTTCAAGTCACATGTTTGGGGAGGCTCCAGGCATTGAACAATCATTTGCTTAACTGCTGAGGCAAGACAACATCAAAATGGATACCTCATTAGCCAAGCAACAACTCACAGCTCATATGATCCTTCTTAATCCCCCTTAGCAGTGCAGTATATTTCAGAACCAGTTCAAATGAAACCGGTTCTCAGATAGCCACAGTTCTGCTGAGGGAGCAAGTCCCATCCCGTCTCCTGGTCTAAACTGAACTACCAATGCATTGCTGTGGGTGTGTGCAAATGATGAGACATTTATCAGAGGTCCTGACTGCCTGTTCAGGTGGACGGTAAAGATCCAATGGCACTATTTGAAAAGAGAAGGCAGTTTCTCCCGGTCCTGGCCAACAATCCCACAAATAAATTTTTTCACTCATTTCATGGCTGCCTGTGGGATTTTGCTGTGCATAAATCAGCTGCTACATTTGGCCACAAAACATGCAGCCACTCCACTTTAGAGTGTAGCGCTTAAGGATGTCCTCCAAACACAGTACCAAATGTAAGAATTATTATTCATTTGTGGGCAGTCGTTCAAGTTGTGAATCGTGACCTCTTTTTTTCTCTCCTTCCTCCCCACACCCCCCCCAATAGATGGTCCTTCATGGGGTGCACTGTTCCTCTGCTTTTTGTTAGGATACCGTGGTGTTCATTGCACCTTTTGGCAGTCGGCTGGGCACCAGGAAAACGCCACCTCTGGAGGTGGGATACAGATCCACTTCAGATGTGCGGAGGGGAGGGGGTTATGGCCATTACCTCCGATGGCAACGGCACCTCTCTGTCTTGCCATCAAAGCTTGGACCAAAAGGGCTGTTTGAGCCACATCTGTCGAGTACAAGCTCAAATACCCCACGTTTGTTTTCTCCTCATTCCTCCTGAAAGCTGCAACTTAACATAAACAGATGTCAGGAGAACAGGACTTTAGAAGCAGCAGAGATCGCAAAATGAACAACAACAACAACAAAATTACATTTGTATAGCGGAGGATACAAAAATACACAAACACACCAATTTACAGTCTATCCTGTGAAGCACTTTGAGACATCTCAAGGCATGACAAGGCGCTGTATCAAATACAAGGATTATTATTATTATTAATTATTAAGCTTCAGGAGTCCTGTAACTCAGTGGTTAGAGCATTCGCCTCGCAAGCGAGAGACCTGGGTTTGATTCCCGGCAGGGCGAAACCTTGGGCAAGTTTCCTTATTCCATATGCCTGATAATAATCACTCAAGAAAAAAAAGACAATAATAAAATTGGTCACTTCAATCCATGACTGTTTGTGGACATTGCTGTGTGCAATTGGCTGCCGCGTTCGCCCACACATATACAGTCAATTCACTTTACAGTATATTCTGTGAAGCGCTTTGGGACGTCTAGAAGACGTGAAAAGCGCTATATCAAATTCAAGGATTATTATATTATTACTTTCACAGCCAAAGATTTTGATCCCAGCAGAGAGACTACAAAGATGTACTTCAACACTTAGCTTCCAGGACTGTCAGAAAAAAAGAAGCGGGGAGGGAAGGGAGGTGAGAGAATAATTCGGTCCATGGGAAAAGTATTTTACTTTTAGGGTTTAATGGAGTTTGTGGTCAGACAACAACAAGATCTCTTCAGATCTACAACCGATCATTTAATCTCCAAGTACATTGCTGTCAACATTCCCTAACGAGTTTTAGAGATGGAGAAAAGCGTTTGAGGCTGCTTAGTAGGAGGAAGAATACAATGCAATTTATATTTATACACCATTTTCATGTCGGGAGGAAGTCTTGAAGCACTTGTGGAGTTTGTGGAGCAATGTTGCGGAGGTGGGGGGAGGCAGAGCGGGTCATGGCACGTATGTGGGGTTGAAAAGATAGTTGAGGGCCAAATAAGACACCGAGGTTCCAGACTGGCTCAGTGAGGTGGAGTGTGCATTCTTGGATGGTGATGCTGTGGTGTGGAGGCTCTAACAGGAGCCAATTAGAAGAGTCTCGGTCTTATTCACGTTCAACTATAGAAAGTTATCTCTCATCCGGGACTTGATGTCTGACAGACATTCTGTCAGGACAGCAGTGGTCCTGGAATCGAGGGTGGAGGCAGAAAGATAGAGTTGGGTGTCATCCGCATACATGTGGAAGTTGACCCAATGTCTGCGGATGATGTCACCAAAAGGGAGCATGTACAAGTTGAAGAAGAGGGGACCAAGGACAAAGCCCCGAGGTATTTCTAGTTAGCAGAGCTAATATCATCAATCCTCGAGAATAAGTCTGATGAATATTTGTTGTCAAATACTTTCCGTGACAAGGACACGGGATAAATATGGTTAGTGTGGATAAGGAAGGTATTTGCAGTGTACACATCGATTACCATAACAACCAAAGCACTCAAGACAGCCACAGAATGATTTACTAGCCACTGATTAATTGGATCCGTTGTTTAGCTTAACTTCTACCTGGCTTGGATCTTGGTAAACCATGAGAGACGGAGTGGGGTGGGGGGTGAATGTTCAATTCCCGTACACACTGTGTCTGCAGCAGAATGCTGCCTGGGGACTCGTACTGAATGAATGGCAAGCACCACAATTACACTAAAAAAGTTACTTGAATAAAAAAAGCTGCAATGGGTTTAGCTTCAACTGCTTAAGGCAATGAAATAGGGAGGGCGAGGAGTCAGAGAAATACAGGGAGAGGGGCAGGAGCTCTAAGCGGAATTGAAGTGTATAGACAAGCAGAATGAGATTGGAGTATGCACAGTTTTGATACAAAAAAACATTTTATTTATACAGTACAGGCCATGTTTGGCAGATAATTGAGTCCTGTAGCTCAGTGGTTAGAGCGCTCGCCTCGCAAGCGAGAGACCTGGGTTCGATTCCCAGCAGTTTCCTTACTCCACACACCTGATAATAATCCCTCAAGAAAAAAACAATAATAAAATTGGTCACTTCAATGCACGACTGTTTGTGGGACACTGCTGTACGCAATTGGCTGCCGTGTTTCGCCCACAAATATACAGTCAATTCACTTTACAGTCTATTCTGTGAAGCGCTTTGGGACGTCTAGAAGACGTGAAAAGTGCTATATCAAATGCAAGGATTAATATTATAATTGAAAAGCCACTTATTCCCAAATATCTGCCTATATTTGGAGTGGGTGGGAGTAAGATTGATCCTTACCTTTCCTTTGTTCAAGGAATTCCCCAACTCCTGCTCGATTCCCTGCTGAGATAAGCAAATTCAGAGTGAACTGCAAACTCAGGAGGTTTACTATTAGCCTTTAAAAATAAAATAAAATGCAAAGTACAGCAGATGCTGGAAATCTGAGACAAAAAACAGATCGCATTACAATGCACGGCCGGCCTGTCAGGGTTAGTTGGAAACTCAGCTCATCCCTCAGCAGGAAGCATGGCAGCCAGCACACCTGGTGCCACTCATTCAGTTTCCTGTGTTGGGAACACAGGTTTTGGGTTATAATCAGGTCCCAGTGGAAAACTGCAGAAATATTTGCCAAAAACTTATAGGGAAATTGGACAAATTTTGCAGAAAATTGGGTGGAAATTTCACAAATTTGGTGGAAAATTGCAGCGAGTTGACTGGTGCGGTTAAGAGGTCCATTTCACTGCCAATCTACGCTTTTACTTTAACTAAACAAGAAGAAATAACGCATTGTTGGAAATGAAATTGTTTTGTAGCTGGGGGGCGTTTGTAGCAGAGCAGTGGGTGTTTGTAGCAGAGGGGGCAGGGGTTGTAGCTGAGTAAGTGTTTGTAGCAGAGGGTTTGTGTGTAGCGGTGGGGGTGTTTGCAACGGGGTGGTGTTTGTAGCGGAGGGGAGGGTGTGTAGTGGAGGGGGGATGTGCAGCGGGAGGGGGTATGTAGCGGAAGGGGGTGTGTGTAGTGGAGGGGGGTGTGTGTGTAGCGGAGGGCATGTGTGTGTAGCAGAGGTGGGATGTGTGTAGCAGAGGTGGGATGTGTGTAGCAGAGGTGGGATGTGTGTAGCAGAGTGGGGGGGTATAGATGAGTAGCTGTGTTTGTAGCCGGTGGGGGGGGGGGGGTGTAGCGGTGTGGGGGGGGTTGTGTAGCGATGGGGGTGTGTGTGTAGCAGAGTGTGGTGTGTGTAGCGGAGGGTGGTGTGTGTGTAGCGGGGCGGGGGTGTGTGTAGCAGAGGGTGGTGTATGTGTAGCGGAGGGGTGTGTGTAGCAGAGGGTGGGTGTGTGTAGTGGAGGTGGATGTGCCTAGCGGGGGGGAGGATGTGACGGGGGGGGTGCGTGTGGCGGAGGGAGGGTTTGTGGCAGGGGGGTGGCGGAGGAGGGGGTGGTGGAGGAGGGATAACGGAGGGGGGGTGACCAAGGGTGGGGAGTGATGGAGGTGGGGGGGTGGCGGAGGTGGGGTGGCATGTGACCGAGGGGGACTTGGTGGGGGGGGGAGGGCGGGGGGTGGCGGAGGGGGCGTGTGGCACAGGAGGGGCTGTGGCGGAGGGGGGCTGTTGCGGGGGGTGGGGCTGTGGAGAAGGGGATTGTGTGTCGGAGGGGGTTGTATGGTGGAGGGGGGTGTGCGTGGCGGAGGATGAGGGTGTGGCGGAGGAGGGGGCAGAATGGGGAGGGGGAACTGCTTCTGAAGTAAAAGGTGCACAGAGTAATTCTAGAGTACTGTAGGTGGCGGAGGAGAGAGCAAGGGTGGAGAAAGCCAGGCATAAAATAAACATCAAGTAGTCCATATTTTCAGGCAAGGAGTTCCCAAAAGCAGCAGTGCAATGTGCAAGGTTGAAGTACATTAGAATGAAGTACATATTTATTGCTTCCTTTCATTTTCAATTAGTTGTTACAGCTGCTGTGGCTTGTAAATGCAAATGGGCACAGAGTCCAATCCCCTGAAATACACCCTCCTGGATTGTTTTCGCTGATATCTTGATTCATGCCAACAGACAAAGAGCAGTTTATTCTTCTTAATATAAGTGAGATATTAAGGAATTCCAATTGTAAGCTCTCATCAAATTATATTTTAATATGTTTTCCCTCAGCTGTGAAAACTTATCCTCCAAAAGTTTATCAGTATTAACCAGTTGGTCGTGCTACTTCCTGGTATTCAACTGCAGATTAACATTGCGATTTTCATTTGGCCAATTCTCTCTCTAAAAAGCAGGGGACTCTTGAACAATCCTTGCATTTGACATAGTCATGTCCCCCGAGACATCTGAGTGCTTCACAGTTTTGACAGCAAAGCTTCTCAACAGTGGGGAAGCTCAATCAACTACTACACATGCACCATTTTCAAGCCTGGGGCTGATCTTCCCCCCTCCCTACCTCACGGTTGTTAAGGTCAACTGTACCATACCAACTGCTGCTGGGGCCGTGGTCAGATAGTTCAGCACATACACATTGGGTTTGGAATTTGTAACCTTCTGTTTGGTTTGCATTTGTGCTACAACACATGCCGGTTTTACCCACTAGGCCGTTGGGGGAAACTAACATGATAAATCTGCCCTAAGCACATCCCAACTCTCAATCCTCCGGTAAGAATGCCATCAGTGTGGATCAGCTGCTTGTGCAACCTGCCCTTCACTCTGCAGCAACAATGAAGGCGAAGCGAATGAGAGGAAATCCCACCCCTACCTCCTGAAGCTATATCCAGCAGTGGGTAGATTGCGTAGGGAACAGGAGGCCACAGGCGCGAATCCCAGTCTCTAGTGAGTTTCCCAATATTAACTGGGATAGCAGCTGCTGAGCCACATTTGATTCCTCCAGCACCCTGGGTTGAAGAGAGACACAGAAATGAAATCAGCCAGAATTCCTAATCACTACGCAGAGCTTGTTCCAGAGAAATCCGTGTGGACTTTGGGCAAGAATAGCATAAGGCTCAGCTGTGATATTTTCCTCCTTTCTCCTCTTTGCTCTTCTCCTCACCGCCCCCCCCCCCCCATCTCATTGCTACATACTGTCAAGGTTCACATATGACTAAAAGCCAGCAACCAGAGTGGGAGACTGGAAAGAGCACAGTAAAAGAACAAAGGAGTCAAAGGTTTTCAGAAAAGGGGAAAAACATTGCTGAGAAGTGAAAAAAAAGTTTGGACGTGATCAAGTGATTAAAGTCGTGAATGTCATCTCAAGGTTTGCTTTACTCATTATAATTTATGACAATGTAAAAGCCCTGAAGGAGACTTTTGCCTTGTAATCACTTCCAGATATTCATTGCTCTCTGTAGCAATCTTGACATAAGAGAGTATACTTACTTCAAACAGAATACCGTACTTCGGTAATTCATTATTGTTCAATAAAGACCATTGGTGATCATAACCATATTGGCACTTTCAATAGGAAAATGGCTTTGTGCATATCATCCTTTTAACAAGAAGCCTTCCAGGTGAAAACCATAAGGGAATGTTCACTCCAGTGGGTGAAGTCCTGGAATCCTGTAGCTCAGTGGTTAGAGCACTCGCCTTGCAAGCGAGACACCTGGGTTCAATTCCCGGCAGGGCGAAACCTTGGGCAAGTTTCCTTACTCCACACGCCTAATAATGATAAAGGCTATTATGTGGACAGATATAGTCTGTAGCTCAGTGGTTAGAGCACTCGCTTTGCAAGTGAGAGACCTAAGTTCAATTCCAGGCAGAGGGCGAAACCTTGGGCAAGTTTCCTTACTCCACACAGAGCCTAATAATAATCCCTCCAAAACCGAAAACAATAATAAATTGGTCATTTTCAATCTACGACTGTTTGTGGGACATTGCTGTGCGCAATTGGCTGCCGCGTTTGCCCACAAATATACTGTCAATTCACTTTACAGTGTGTTCTGTGAAGCACTTTCGGACGTACTCCCGACGTGAAAAGCGCTGTATCAAATGCAAGGATTATTATTATTATTATAGAGAGGTGAGCAACAACAACAAATATTCCCCATTCTATACATTCCTATTATTTCAAAGCATTGTTCAAAGTTCCCTGCAACCCATTTAATGGTAACAAAAGTTTTCCAGCAAATGTCCATTTCCCTTGAGGGAACAACAATCTCCACAACAACCTGAAAGCTCTTTAATCAAAATCAGATTTTACACTTCTTCCTCTTTCCTAGTAGATGAAAAAGGATGAGAAAGTAAAACAGGATCTGAATATAAATGGTGTGGTTTGCTGACGTAACCCTAAGTGAAGCGAGTTATATAAATGCAAGTTGTTGTGATGGTGGTAGTGGTATTCTTCTGATTATACAACCACTTTAGTTCGCCAAATCCTTAGCAATTACTGAAACAATTCACGTATCCAGGAAAACAGCGCTATAATTGTTGGTGTATTAGTACTTCCAATCCATACATCATGAAGTGACAAGGTGCAAGCTCATACCCAAGATTCTTTACAATACATTACTGCTCTCACCAAAAGCATCAGGGGAGGACAGACAGCACAAGGCAGGCACAGGGTGATGCAACAGAGGGAAGGAGTAACATCTTTCTACAGAGTGCTTCACAGTAATTAATGCATTTGTAGGTGAACACTGCAGCCAATCTGCATACAGAAATGTCCCACAGACAAGAGGTGAAAGATCAATTTATCTGGAGAATTGTTGGCCGAGACATCAGAAGAAACTTCCTTTGCTTTTCAAATTATATGATACTTATACTTGCATTTGATGTAATGCCTTACCATGTTGTTGACACGTCTCAAAGTGCTTCAGAGAATATATTGTAAAGTGAGTTGACTATATTTTGTGGGAGAAACGCAGCCAATCGCACCCTGGAGGATCCCACATACAGTTGTGGATGGTGACCAATTTTTTTTAAAGAGATTATTATCCCCGGAAAGAGATCTACCAATCGACTAATAACCGGATTCCTACTTACTGGTAGGTAAACGGAGGCATTTAGAGTAAGGAAACTTGCCTAAGGTTTTGCTCCACTCGAGAATTGAACCCGGGTCCTCTCACTTGCAAGATGAACAAGTTAAATCCGAGGCTACAGAACTCCTCAGTGGATACTTTGTCTTTTTGAACATACATGTGGGTTTAAAATGTCATCCGAAGGACAGATGAAATGTCAAACTAAAGTCTTATAAAATAAAAATCTTTGCATTTCATACAGCACCTTTCATGTCCGGATGACGCATCAAAGAACTTCACAATATTTTCTGTGTAGTGACTGTATTTTGTAGGTGTGCATGTTCTGTAAACTTTTTAGGAACAGGTTAAGGGCAGCAATGCCAAGTGCCTGAGAACAAGTCACTTAGCTGCCCTGTCAG